ATGATAGAGCTTCCCTTAGGAGTTTTTAGTGAGGATTTGATGATATAGTAAATACAAAGCACGTCGCCAAGTGCTGGCATTTAGTAAGAGCTCAAGAAATATTAGTTATCTGATGAAACAGCTCCCTAATTATAGAGCAGTCAGAGATCTGCTTGGAAAGAATCCCTGGTGTATCAGAAGGTACTTACTACTGAGTCATCATTGCATAATAAATGACGGGTGCAGGGGAGTAGTTACCTTCCTGGAGGGATGGTAACTTCCTCCTTCCACCAAATGGATGGGATAAACAGGTTGGCCTCCCTGAGTGACCAGCAGGCCAACCCAGGGGTCTCAACATCTTCAATGAGCCTTTCTTAAATTCTCAAAAAGATTCTTTTTGCAACAAAGGCTTTTTCCCTTCCTCACTGCCACAATTAAGTGTCTGAGGTAAAGGTGAAGCCGGAAATAACACAGGCTGAAACCATCTAACTCATACTAGCTCAGATTTCCCTGTTTCTGCGTTCTTCCGTGGTTCCTCTCAACCCATGCCCATTACATTGGCGTGAATTAGGTGGGAGGCAACTGTTTTGCACTTCTGTCTGTGGCTGTTACAGTCACTGCAAGGTGAACTGTACTGTCGCTGAGATTTGCATCAGCACAGGTGAGAGCCCGTATCAACATGATGACTGCTCCTGCAGTAACTGTCTTCACATGTTCAACAAGCAGGTGGTGACTGACCACCCACCACTTCTGAGACATTGTTCTTTGATGGATTTCCAACTAGGAAGGAGGCCAATTCAATAGAGTACAATGAGGGTTATGGTCCAGGTCAACACAGGGAAGGGTACTACTGCCCCGGTGGGGGAGGGGGCGTCAGAGGATTAGGGTTGAATGATAAAGAAAGAGCCAGAGGAAGCAGGTCAGGAGAAGGTGAGTGGATGATGTTCTTCCTCCTTCCACCTTCCTCCACCCCTTCCCAAAACTCTGCACATCCGGGGGAAATTTGGTGATGTGACCATTCAGCCTCACTGTCCTCTTTCTTCTGAGTCTCAGGGAACTGCAGACGAAAGAGCGCCCCTCATACGAACCTAACAGTCGGCTGCACTTGGTGAAGGAAGCAAGGGAGCTGTCGTGACCTGGACCACAGCGTGGGGCAACTGTCTGCGTCCTCACCGGCATGTCACCTGGTGTGAGAGGAGAGAGGAGACCCTATGCTGGCGTGTGATGAGGGCCCATGGGCAGAGGGCCAAGAGCAGGCTGACATGGTTGGCCGTTAGGCTTTACAAGATCCTATGGTCCCTGACAAACTATTTTGTTCTTCAAGTGTCTAGCAAGTATTTAATAAATTCTTGTATAGTAATTTTTCCATTGTTGGGTGCTGGTAGCTCCAGAATTTTGTGACCACTGTCGTGGTTATAATGCCTCCACATCCCTTGTTAATGCTACCTGGTCTAACCTTATTCAGTATGCTTCACTCACCAGACTGTGTGCTCAAAATGCATAAGTACTATTTCATGTTGTTTTCCTCCATGCACCGCATCCTCAAGAGACAAAAAGAGTTCGGAATGCAGGGTAAAATACTAAAACTCATTCAGTACCATTCAAATGCACCTAATTTCCTCTTTTGAAAAGGGACATTAGTGTTTCTTCCTAATCTTTAGTTCATAATTCCTCCAGGAAATAATTTAGTCTTCTGATGACTTTCATACAGGTTAGGAATTAAGCAGGGACGGGGTTGGGTGGGGTGAGATGTGCAGTGGGGTGGTACCTGTGAGTTGATAGTGATAAACACCTGAGGATATTTTTACTATTCTTTTGTGAATTGAGAGAATGCATAAATAATGTTGGTGAGGACAAGTACAGATATTTCATATATAGAATAGAATGCTAATTATGACATTTGTGAATAGTTTGTTATTTTTTCAGTCAAACTGATCTTGACGTGGAAAGGCATTTCTGGGAGAATGTAATCAGTGACTGGTATTTTTTCTTCCCTCAATCACCCTTACCAAATATGACTGTATTAATTAGAATACTCTTGAGTGATTATTTGTAAAGTTACTTATGAACATAGGAAATTCATCTATCCACAGCATAAGTTACAATTAAATTTCAGGAAGTCTGACTACACTAAAGAGACATTTCTTCCGGGACACTCTTCTTGGTAACTTT